ATAAACTATGTCGGATTTGGACGGTGGGTACCGTACCCCGGCGCGCGGCAGGACCAACCAAGATTGGAATGAGCTTTGCATGAAACCAATCGCTTACTGCGAACGCCATTTTTTTGTTCCTTCTGAATGATTCTTCGCATAGAGTGTCATATCCTACTGTTTTCTCCCTTCAGGGTTGTTTTTGAACGTTCCGCCTAGCAGGGATGTGCCGTTTTTGTGTTGGCGCTCGGCTGTCAAATGGCTCGAATACGCGGTATCATGGAAATCACGCCTGGGATCGCTCCCTACCATTATCGATATGTTAAATTCAACAGGTAATCTTTTTTCTTTCTTGCGAAAGTTTTGTTTGTTCCTTGAGTGAACTTTTCGGATATTTCAGCGATCTGAACGACTGAAAGACCATCAGGAAGCACCGACGATAACACTAGACGAGGATCCAGTCGAGATTGAGAGCGAGGATTCAGTGTAAATTATTGGAGACGAGGATTCAATGGAAATCCTTGAACTGACGTCCCATCAGGAGCTGAATGTTGGTGGAAATGTGATAGAGCAAACGCGAGAAGATTCTGAGAAGGTGTTTGAAGGCGAGAAGGCGATTTGCTCTTCAAAATGCGAAGCCGCTCCCAGCTCGCGCCAGAGAATCTGTATTCCATGAACTTGCGCATGCGCAGGCTACATACAAAAAGTAGGTTTTCATCGATAACATAGAGGATCAGGGAGTTGGTAACGATTAACCTCCAGGATATCGAGCTTCTGCAGATGAAACTACAAAAAAATTTGCAGAGCCTCGAGCAACCCTCAGAAGGAGACGGGGGATCGGCAGACAATACAGTAAGCTTTCGCAAGTCGATACATTATCAAGTGAACGACGAACATACTCTGCACAAGGCAATATGTTACAACATGACAAATATCTCAGCTGACCTCTGTATAGTGACATTGATTTTCGCTTTTTATTTGTGTTTTAAAATGTTTTGTTTTTTTTTGTGTGAGTGTTTATCAAAACCAGAAATTCAGTTTTGAGCGCTTGAGTTTATAGTCTATCTTATATATAGAGCTGAATGTATGTCTGTCTGTCTGTCTGTTGTGTGTAAGTATGTGCGGAATAGAAATTTTTATTTCTGAACCGATTTGGACCAAACTCGGCACACATGTACTTCGGGGCGGGGAGCGTGTCATAGGCTACTTTTCGTTGTCGATCGATATCGACTTTATCGATTTTTCGCAAAATTTGAGCTACGGAACTGGGAGTTGGCACAGGGGGGGGGGTAATCGAGCATACTGATTACAAATATGTTATTGAAAGGGCCGAGCGGAGCCGGGTTGCCAACTAGTGTGTGGTAAGGTTACTCCAAATGTGTTGAGCTTGTTTTTGAACTCAATGAATTTCTGCACATAAACTATTTGAGATTGAGCCACAACTTTTCTGATCATTCCAAAGAAAGGTACCAGCTCACTTCCCATGAAATGCACTGCAAAAAGGCATATATCGCTCTCGTAAAAAAGAATGTATGGGCGGAAATTTCCAAATGGGAGGCTCTCCCAAGTTGTTACTAATGGAAAGGGCTCTCCTAACCACAGCAATTCCAACCCAGTATTTTGCTGTATCAATCGAGCAGTATTCTGCTAGAGAAAAAGAGAAGATGGAAACAGGTGAAAGACATATCTCAGATTCCAGATTATATTGCAGCATTGAAAATAAAAGTTATCCAAAATTTACCACAATCGAAGCGAAACCCATTGCACCACTTCACAACGAAAAAGCGTCCAGATTCTCACAGAAACCATTATCCGTCGAAATCCGGCGCTGACCTTAGCTACAGTATATACAGGGCTTTTCAACCTGAGAGTCGCAAGTTTCGCTTGCGCGGCTCCTCCAACGCGGCCGCCTCGCTCAGGCCGCGCGCGGCGTTTGCTGCGTATCGCCCGGATTTCGCTAAGCTTCAGTCGACGAGCAGCCTCCGCCACGAACGCTGCGCGGACCTAAGCGTGGCGTCCTAGCGGGGCGGGTGGGACACTCAGGTTGTAAAGCCCTGTAGCTGCCTTTTATTTTTAATTTGGCTATAAATCTTACTTAATACATAAACATCTTACTATCATTAGGCCATCCTGAAACTATTTTTTGTTTATTCTCTGATCTTGCCACGATACTGGAAATTCTTCTCATCTTGGATACTCTCTTAATAACCAAAACGTGCAAATGATGTTTCTCTAGGATATGTCATGGAATTTATCATTATCGTCGACATATACCAACAACTTTTCGCCAAAATATAAATTGGTTTTATTTGATGAAGTTAGAAGAACCTCTACTTCCCAAAACGTGTACATTGTTCAGGGAGATGAGGTCATCCTCACCAATGACAGTCTTGTTTTGAAATCTTAAACAACAAACAGATTTCGTAAATGATAATTCTACGTCATCCATTAAGATCAGATTAAGATTAGCAAACTCAGGTCCCATTCATTACTTGAATACGGATAGCGAAATGATTAGTTATATGGACCTAAAGGGTAAACAACACATCATATCAAATGCAGGGCCATTTTATGATCTAATAAGTAAGATCAATAAAAAAAGTAAGAGGCAACCGGGCCGCCTTGGTCGCGTTAGCTATATACTGTAATTAGGTCAGCGCCGGATTCCGACGGATAATGGTTTCTAATTTTCACATCTAACAACTCATGAATCGAATGAAGCACTCGTTTTCTGAGATTACAATCAATCGAGTAGACAGGTAATACATAAAAAGAATATACATTTGTACACAACAAATTCTTACTGATGCCGCCTGTAGAAGATCTTTGCCAGAGCCGCTGAAATGACACAGATCAGGCAGATGGTAAAAAACCTAATTAAAACCAAGAAATGAACTTACCGAATCTCTCAGGATATTTTTCCTATAAATTTCCGATGCTTTTTCGCTTCAAGATTCCATCTTCTGCCTCCGTTTTGCGAACATCTTCTCAGAATTTTCTCGCGTTTGCTTTGTCACATTTTCACACACATTCAGCTCCTAATGAGATATCAGTTCAAAAACTTCCACTGAATCCTCGTCTTCAACAATTTCCACTCGCTCTCAATTTCGACTGGATCCTCGTCTGGTGGTATCGTTGGTGCTTCCTGATGGTCTTTGTCGTTCAAATCGCTGCAATGTCCGAAAAGTTCACTCAAGGAACAAACAAAACTTTTGCTAGAAAGAAAAAAGATTACCTGTTGAATTTAACATATCGATAATGGTAAAAAGCGATCCCAGGCGTGATTTCCATGATACCGCGTAATCGAGCTATTTGACAGCCGAGCGCCAACCCAAAAACGGCACATCCCTGCTAGGCGGAACGCTCAAAAAGAGCCATGAAGGGAGAAAACAGTAGGATATGACACTCTGTGCGAAGAATCATCCAGAAAGAGCAAAAAATGGCCTTCGCGGTAAGCGATTGGCTTCATGCCAAGCCCATTCCAATCTTGGTTGGTTCCTGCCGCGCGCCGGGGTACGGTCGCCAGTGCCACCGTCCAAATCCGACATACAGTCTGGCCCAATCTTAACCAGGCCAAAATTGGCATGGCGGGAGTCCGCGTCGCTAGGGTCTCGCGGTCACGCCCATGGCCTGTTTCTCTGCTCTCTCTTTGATCCCCTGGCTCTCTCCGACAGCGCGCATATGCAGCGCAGACCGCTAGTGCTGCGAGCGCGCAAATTTATGCCGAAGCTTCGGCCTGATCCCGACTGGAGCAGACTGTATAGTGGTGTATGAGCAACAGCGCCGAGAACAGGCCATGTTTTGCCACCTCCTCGACCAAAAAATTGATGAACATATCAGCAGTCTCTGATGTTCTCGTCCAGCTTGTTTTTTTTCCACGTTTAGTCGATCCGATAGAGGGACGCCGCTTCCACCACACATTTTGGTCGAGGAAGTGGCAAGACATGGTCATCGACCACCGGACATTTTGCTCCACAAGGATTGCATCTGGAGAGTGAACAATATGAAGCATTTACAGAATGACAAACAACAAGCAAAACCGAAACAGTAGAGAAGTACATCTAAAGGGAAAGGTCCACGTCTCATGCAAGGAAAAGAACACCTGCTTCGAAATTGGAGCGCAACGCCAAGTCCCGAGATAAAAACACGCTCCAATTATCAAAGAGCGCAGCGACCGTATCGCAGCATTTAAAGGCACCGTCCACCCAGAATGAAGGTTGGCGAAATTATGATGGCATACTAGTGTGGGCCCCCACACTAGGCAAACCCCAAGCTTCGCCGCAAAAGACTGCTTCTGGAGCGAGAAATCCGCTCCAAGTAGCAAAGTAGGCGGCTTGCATGCTCTATCTCACCTGCGCTTGTTGCGGTGGGTTCTCGAAACAGGAATTTTTGGGAGTTTCGTAGATTTTCGACTCCATATTCGGAATCAGGGCTAGAAGGCCTGAAGGTGACAAAAACATTGAATTCGAGATTTTGGGTGGACGGTGCCTTTAAGTCCTTCTGTCTAATGGTACACACCCAGAGGCCCGGCACAAATGGTCAAACTGGACTTCGTTTTTGAAGTTAGAAGCTAATATCGTTTCCGAGAAAACGACGATCGTGTCAGATTTCACGAGTTGAACGTGTGTTCTTTTGCAAGCGCGCGAATTTCAAACGCAAGACTCAAACATTCGGCGCACAAACAATCACATGGCTCCGAATTTGGGCTATGTGTACGCAATATTACTTCAAACTATGTTATGTAAAAAGTTCTAGGAACTTATGCTCCCTAATATCCGTCCCCGAATTTGTTGGTTTCTAGACCAACACCAAACCAACTGGGTTGGCATAAATATCGGAGAGTTCGCATAAGTTTTGCGCATGTCCAATCAATCGTCAACTAATGTTGGTATCCTTTCCTTGTTAGCAGAATCTATTTATTCTAGCTTATTCGTTGTATGGGACTGATGTCAGAGTGTCTTTCCCCAGCACTGGAATCTGTTCGAAACGAGTCACTGCAGCTGAATGATTTTTTCCTTCACAGCAGCCTCCACTCTGCACTCTGTCGCAACATTCCAGAGGATGTGCGCAATTGCGAATCGATTGATTGAATGATCGCCTGTCATAGCACTACACTGTGATTTTGTTCAGCGCAAGGCTTTTTTCCTGAGGTATACTCTACCTTAACCTTGACTTTCTAATTCTCTGAGTATCTTGCAGTTTCTTCTCTTCCTTTTAGTGACTGATTATTTTTGGGCTTAACCTATTTTTCTGAAAACAAGAGATTCGGCTCGAGTACGCTTTGCATTTACTGTCTAGAGAAGCTTGATCGTGTCGTTAAAAGTTCTTATTTGTCGTTATCTCATATACAATTGTTTGCTACGTGAAACTGTGAAAGAACAAATTGATCTTGTTTATACAGTGTATGCAAAGAGTTCTTGAGTTTCGTAGTTTGAGATTAGATGATTTGTAATGTTGCATGATGTTGACCTCATCTACTTGCTTTACCTGTTACTCCTTAGTTACGAGTATTGAACAATCCTAGATCCTCTCAAATTTTGAAGAGTTGAAGTTCAAACACTTGAGAAGATTATCTTAAGAGATCATATTAGGTTGTGCAAAAGTTCTGTCCGATTTTTTGCCTTCCGTTTGAAAGCAGCTGTTCTAAGAGAATTTCATCTCTAATGCGGTATTGTTAATATCATCAGAAATTGCTTTTCTTGCGCTTTCTAAAGCATGTCAAGCTTCAGTAAATTTTTCAGTGTAAGGAGATTTCAGGCTCAACATCTCAAAGTGGCCGAGGTACGTTCTCACCCTAGAAATACGCTCTTGCGAGAAAATCTCCACAATGCGCCCTTCAGGTCAAGTTTTTTAAATGGTTGCGGAATAAGGGTGTAACAGGCTAGCATACGCATAAGTTCAGTTTTATGAAGAAAACGTCTTGCTAGTAAAATTTATTGTCAAACATCAATTTTCTGTATAGATGTTTTACGAGTAATAACTTTCCGCGAATAGAAGTAATCGACGACTTCAAATTTGGAAGTGCTAGGGTAAGCAAGGGCTAGCAGAGACCATCCATCAATTTCTTTTCGGCGCTCACGTCAACTGTAAAATTTTCATAATTCGTAAATAGGCAGGCACACATGCGCTGAAGCGAGGTCAAAATGTGGCTGCTTTTTCGCTTGGTCAAAAAAATCTCTCGGCAACGCAGACCCTATGGGATCTTTTCGGGTGCAAAATAATATACGAAAATTTCTCTATCTGTCCATTATTAGACAAGATGCCTATCAATTCTCATAAGGGAGCATGCCATGTGAAAGAAGACAGATTTGAAGAAAAACGCTGTGAAGCTTTTGAGTTCTTGCTTCTTCCTTAACAAGGATTTTTGCAGATTTCGATATGTATTTGATAGACAAGGAGTGGCTCAACACACGGAAACTAAGATCTTGGAAAAAGTTGATTTTGAAAGAAGTTATGACATTTTGAATTCAAAAATTTCAAATCGGACAGAACTTATGCAGCAACCTAATACTTTCTCCAAGAATCCTGAGATATACGTAAGCTGCAAGATTTCCATCTTATCACAAATGCATGCACGAAGATCCTCTAAGTCTCTAATTTCTGAAAGGATGTGTCTTTCCGCACTGGTCTAGCTATAACATTTCGTTTATCAGTTATCACTGTTGCAGACCTGTGCAAACAGATCAATCTCCCGTAGGTGTTCTTCACCCGAACCCTCTCAGGAAGCTTCAGTGTGAGTTATAGCTTGTTTTATGTAATTTATAATCTAGATTTCAATTCTTCATATTACATAAACTAATTGTGATTACCTTGAGTTTTCAGCTGTCACGCTGTAGATTTTTTAATCACTGTTTTCTTATCTTGCTGCTTTACTGACAGCCTGCATCTCGTTCATTCCTAACGCTATATTGCAATACATCAAGTTAATTTGGTCTTTGCAGGCTTTCTGTGAGACTTTATTATGGCTTCACCATCGCAACTGTTACCGAGGAATGAATGAATTATTGATTTCAGAGAAATCTATGTGATCCGTTGACTGTGAAATTATGCGGTTATTTCCTTACCTTGGTCACGGTTCAGGAAAGGTTGTTCACGCCAAGGTGACAACCATGGATGCTGATTTGGATCGCATTGTCATCGAGGTTTGTTTCGACTTTCTCTTACTTTTTCCTTTTTTGTCAGAGCATCAGGTGCAACGTGCAGTTATTTGCCTACTAATCTCCCCAGAACTATGTATGGTGGGTCTGACAGTGACAGTCCCGCGCAGTGCAATTACCCTTTGATTCAACGGGATTGGCGGCTGAAAGGCGGGGCTTCGCCTAATCAGGGATAGAGAATGATCAGAGAGCATGTGTGTCACTCCTGAGCATGCTCGCGAGGGAGACACAGACTGCGTCGCGGGCGCGAGGGGTCGCCTTACATTCGCCACCGTTGAATCAAAGGGTACATTATCATGCGCGGACTGGCATTCTATAGGCGATTAATAGCACGCAAAGACTGCGGGCATATCGGCGTCTCACTGATCGAGCGCTTCTTCGTTTCTTTTACCATCTACTGTCTCTCTCATGCACAAACTATCTTGGCCGGACGCAATGGCGCCATGAATCGTGTATACCTGTAGTGACACAAGTATCAGCCGTAGGATTACTTATCAAAAGAGAATGAGAAGCAACATGAAAAGCAGAAAGAAGTTCAAACTGGAGATTTCTGACTAACAATAAGAGGCTAACTCGCGCGCGTATCGTTGCATTTGCACTGCGCTAAGCCGTTGCCGTTACCTGTACAATATTTCGTCACAAATCTCTTGCTTTCTTCTATGCCCGGTTTAGATTTCCTTGTTAGGTTTGATTTCTGGCAGTGTTCATTTCTTTCTGAATATGTCTGAAAATTGAGTAAAGTCTTTTGCCAGTCTGCTTCACAAGATAAGTGTAGTGGGAGCCTAAATATCATCCTTCCCCTTTTGTTGGTTACGAGTCACAATCGATTTCAACTTTAATGACTTCAAATCGTTAAGCTGATGCCGCCGTTTAAAGCTTCCGTTGTAACTGTACACACTGCGCTTTGGATCTTCAGTACTTCAGAATGCTTCGCGCGGTTACGGACGTTGGCATTAGAGCTTCGCCCAATTCATACACTTTAGACAAGCTGGACAGGTCGTCACCTATTTGATGCAGTATGTCGTATCATCGGGCTCCGTGAAGTCTGGTTTTTTGGCTTGCAGTTCACTAATAAGAAAGGATTACCTTGTTGGTTACAGATGGACAAAGAGGTGCTGGTTTTAGCAACTATTACTCATGTGGCTGTTTGTGTTATGGAAGTGTATTTGGCTTTTCTTGGAACTCAAAAAAGTATCATTCATCCTTTACGTTTAGATACGTAAGCAAGATGTGCCTCGAGGTGAGGACGGTTGTATGCAGTTCTTGTTCTTAGTAAAATTTTATCCAGAAGATGTTGAAGATGAACTCATTCAGGTAGTTTTGAATTTGTGCGTTTAGTTTTTCACTTTTTATCCATTTGAAAGAATACATTCGCACAAAGTCTCTGTTTTACAGGATCTTACCAGACACTTATTTTTCTTGCAAATAAAACAAGCCATCCTTTCCATGGACCTGTACTGTTCTCCGGAAGCATCTGTACTCCTTGCCAGTTTTGCTGTACAAGCTCTTGTAAGAAAATGTTTAGATGGAAATGTAATTTCATAATTTTTTTTGCAGAATGGGGATTGCACAGATGAAACAGAACCGTTAGACTTGGATAAATTATTACCGAAGAGTGTGATAGAACAGTACGATATGAGTGCTGATATGTGGCGCGAGCGGATAAAACGATGGTGGCAGAATAACCATGGACAAACAAGGTTTGCTATGCTTTGCAAGCAACTCAAAATTTTGTTTTCCGTCTGGTTGCACTTCGCAAATCCGCGGTAGAACGTCTAATATCATATACCAGTGCTTCACCTCTGCTTCGCAGAGGCTCGCACTGGCCTTCAAGAAACAGTGGTAAACTTACGATGTGATGGTTTTCTTTTAGATTATTGCCAGGTTGAATGCGGTGAGAGAGTCCTAATTAAAAATGAACCGTACTCGCTATCAGAACCTCACATGCTCCAAAGAATTGTAAATCATTCCTCACTGTATTTTCGTAACAGACAGACTTACAGACCGACGAATAAGCGGCTTTTTATAAGTCATGACATATCATGCCTACTCAGAATTTCGTATTATCACAAAGGACGATCATGCCCCAATATGTCCAAATTTTCAAGAGCATTGTGTTTTAGGCAGAGATGAGTAATCTTATTCACTATATAAATACAACCAGGTTTTCCCTATTCAGCAAGCAACAATAAAAGTCGTGATCTGCCGTTTTGAAATTCTCTGATAAAAAGAAACGAGATTTTCTCGCAACTGCGCACAGTGTGAAATTGGGGGTTTTCACTACTTAACACCTTTTTTTCATAAAGGACAGATATAATTCGGACAATACTAATATCCAAATCCTCGTAGAAGCGCTCTTTGAAGAGATACCGAAAATTGGACAAAAATTTGTCTGCGGCATTCGTAGCCGGCAGCCGCAAAAGGCGACCAAGATTGTTTATTAGTAAACCTAATAGTTTCTTAACATTTAATATATTAGATTGATTCAAAATTAATGCAAGTTCTTCTTACGTCTTTTTACGCTTCTTCTCTTAAAGGCCGTCCATCCAAAATGGAGCTTGGCGAGATTATGATGGCATACTAGTGTGGGCCCCCTACTAGGCAAACCCCCAAGCTTCGCCGCAAAACACTGCTTCTGGAGTGAGAAATCCGCTCCGGAAGTAGCAAACATAGGTGCGATGGGGTGATCGGGGTCCCTCCAAAGTGAAGGGTGTCCCAGCTGGTTTTGACCCTCAAAAATGAAGGGTGTCTGAAAAGTGCCGGCGTCGACCGGGGGGGGGGGAGGATTGAAAAAATTCCAAGCGTTGACACCCGGGGGGGGGACTGAAAAAATGATAAAAAAATGGTGAAAATTATAAAATTATCCGGCATAAATGATCAAATTTTCTAAATTGGATTTGTATGAAATATAATTAGTGAAATGTTTGTAAGTACTTTGTTTTCAATTCATTTAAATATTATTCTATTTTGATACCCATTTTTCGGTGAGAAAATGCATGTTTAGGTGGGTGGAACGTGTAATGTTGTAAATGTGATTCGACCGAAAATTGCAATGGACAGTGGCAGATACTCGAGGCTTGGAAGGTGCTGAATGAAGTTCCACTTGGAACTTACAAATATGGATAATGTTAATAAGAGACCTCGATGATTAGGAATTATTGTTGCTAATAAATCCGTAAGTCGGTATCTATGGAATACAATAAAAAAAATTTGCTGCTCAATGTTCCACTTGAAGCAAAACATACACAATGAGCACAGTGATAAGACTAGTATAATTGATGTCAGGAGAAATTTTTAACGCAATAAAGTTGAAGCTACGATGTTGACGATAATTGAGCAAGGTCAGTTTTGCCAACATAAGTAATTTGCAGTAGATCGCTTTCCAGTATAACTCTTGTATGAATGAGCTAAAGCCAATTTTAAACTAGATTCGGATCCTGGCCTTCAAGAGATATACTACGATATATAATTTGTGAAGTTTAATACCTTTGCCAGGTGAGATAGTTTCCAGAGGTCCAACGGTACCCCCCCCCCTTCACGTCAGAGCCCCATATCTCCACGGTGGGGGCATTTCATGATTTAATTTTTTTTTCATCTTCAAGAGGGAGGTCCATTTAGTATCACCTATACCCTAGCAAAGAGATTCCACGGGAGCGACTGACTTAAATTCCAAATTTACCTGTGTTTTTCAAGCGCGTTATATTCCTTGCTGTAACTCTCCTTCAGTATATCCGATCTTTCTGCGAGGGTATAGGTAAGACTCAGTAAACCTCCCTCTGTAAGACGCAGAAAAAACTGAAGCATGAAATGCCTCCTTCGCCGAGATATGAAGCTGCAAAAAAACCCATCACAAATCGATTTTTTAAATATAACTCTTAAATAAGTAAATAAGTCAAAACGGGAATAGTGTAGGTAGATATTCGTCTCCTCAAGAGCTTTCGAATGATATATAATATGTGGGGGTTTGATGCTTCCGGGTTAAGGGGGGGGGGGGGTGATCGGGCTCAGTTCAGGGTGATCACCTGGCGGCGCCTCTCCAATGCATTAAGGTGGCGGGCGGTGATCACCCTGAAGTGAGGCCGATCACCCCCCCCCCCCTCGCAGGGCTTGAAAAACATAGGACTCCCACATGCTATATATCATTCGAAAGCTCTTGATGAGTACAATCTACTTTTACCCTTCCCACTCAAATTTGTTCACATACACACAAGTTATTTGCGAAAAATCGATTTTTGGAGGCGTGATTTCTGCTCTATTTGCGACTTCATAACTCTAAGAAGAATACTTTTTAGGATCTACTTTTTTTTTCTATGTGATAGAGGAAAGGTTCCTTATTAACGCCTATACTCCCGCAAGATAAAATTCTGCAATTTACTCATGTTATACTGACTCAAAAACTGACTTTTTTCAAATTTGGCCAACATTGTGACTGCAACTGTACTGCCCTAAAAATTTCTCCTGACATCATTTGTACTAATTTTATCATTGTTCTGAACTCTATATCTTTATTTACTTTAAGCGAACACAAATGAACAACATTCTTTTATTGTACTACATAAATATCGACATAAATTTTTATTTGCAAAAAAAATAAAACATGATCAATGCAAGGTCTTTTATTAACATCATCCACATCAATATTCTCCAGGTAAATCTGTCGTCCATCAGCACCTTTCAGGCCTCCAAAATAACTGCCATTGTCCGCTGCCTATGTTAATGTCGGTCGAGATCATTTTTATAAGATCTGCGTCCGATTCTTCTAAAAATGCATTTGTTCATTGATATTTTTGTAATTGTGCAGTAATTCCTCACCTTCAAAAAATTTTCGTCCGTCAGGTGAAGGGGGGGGGTGGTCCGACCTCCAAAGTGAAGGGGGGGGGTGAGCATTTGCTCACCCCATCGCACCTATGGTAGCAACAAGAGGCGAGATAAAGCATGCAAATGGGCGGGGCGACCATGGTCGCCCCGCCCATTTGCATGCTTTATCTCGCCTGCACTTGTTGCGGAGGGTTCTCGAACAGGGATTTTTGGGGACTCCATATTCGGAATCAGGGCTTTCAGAATGCTTAAAGGCGACAAAAACATTGAATCCGAGATTTTGGGTGGACGGTGCCTTTAACAAACCCAATTTTCTCGAAACATTTCCATGGTTTCTTGATGGACGTTTCTTTTAGCTTCTTGACTATGCGTCGCTTTCGTACATCTTTGCTCAATCTGAAGTGTAGAGCCTTCAAAGATAAGAAACTGAATCTCAGAATTCTTCCTTCTGCTCTTCCACGAGAAATGATGAGATTTTTTGGAATATGCGTCGATTGCGAGGTTCGTGCCAAAAAATTCTTTTTAATCCGGAGTTATCGAGAAATCTTGAGCTGAGAAATTTTATGGCAAAATGAATGACTGTTGGGGGCCTTCTGTGCCGCCTAAAATTCTTAAGCAAAAAGCGATTGCAAAGCTTTTGCACTATGAAATAAGGATAGAGTATACGCAGTGATATGAAAACGGTAGGGTTTTCTCATTTTCAGCGGAGAAAAATTGGAAATGTTTAAGAAGTCATGTTTTTGCCTCCTCTAAACTTTCGAAAAAAATGAGTACCATCGATTTTTATTGCAATATCTCCTTGCAGAATGATTTCATAAAATTTTGCTGCACTCTCCAAAAGAGAATCGGCTGTCTAATGAACACAATTTGCTTCACTCTAGTATATTTGAGATTAAATCACGCTTTCTCAAATGAGAGGTTTTCTAAAAAAATTTCTGGCAGTTGGGCTAAAAAATCCTTCTCATAGTGGCAGCAGTCATAGAAGAATATGTGCTGTATAGCCAGATGTTTGCTGTTTGTGACAATTTTTTTTGCATACAGTAACATTGTCTTCGAAAGAAGTTGTGGGTATGTTGTGAATCTAGTCTCGATTTTTTTTGCTCGTTGTTCTCTAATGAACATAAACAGAACATTGGCGCGATAATTTTGGTTTAATTTGCACTCTAGGTGGAGTTACATAGTGTAGGATTGCAGTGGAGAAAGAGGTCTCCTCACGCTTTTTTCTTCATGCTTACGCAGTCAAATGTGTGACAAATGTAATAATATGCCTCAAGCGCTAAATTAGCTCTGCCCAGAAGTTTGGATACTAAAAGTTAGCAAATGTAAAGGCTGCTGCATGACGAAGGCGCAGAAGCCTTTTTAGCTGAGCGGGCGCGAAGGACGCGGGCCCATCTTCACCGTTGTAAACTGCACCTCATGCGCTCTGCGGCTAAAAAGGCCGCGTTCGCGTCTAAAGATATTGCGCCTTCGTCATACAGCAGCCTATACATGCATTGCATTTAGTCCTCCACAGTCAAATATATTATTAACGAGATTTCCTATCTAGGGAAGACGCTGAAATGGAGTATCTTCGGGTGGCGCAAGATCTTGAGATGTATGGAATACTCTATTACCCCATTTGTGTATGTTATGTCACATTTATATTATCGTCGATTCGTTAACTTCAAACGTTGCGGACCATGCGGGGCACGGCTGAAATGTTGCGAGAGCACGACTTGTGGCGGATTACCTCGCGGCGCGTGCTCTGCGGTGACTCCCCAGTCCGTGCGGTCAACGAATCGACGATATCTGTTGCTGAAGTTCAGACCTGGTTTCACTAGCGCGCAAAGATGTTAAAAGCCCTATTTTAGAACAAGAAGGACACTGATCTGCATCTCGGGATATCAGCTCAAGGCCTCGGCATCTACAAAGGATCGAATCGCATTACTCCCAGGCCATTCTTTTCATGGAGTGAGATCAAGAACATTACATTCAAGAACAAAAAGGTTACTTTATTGCTTCGTCTGTTTGAGAACTGGAACTCTTCAATGTCGAAATACAAATTCAGTTTCATATGAAAACAGTGGACAAATCTGGTGTATCCTTCCGAGCAAAGGAAAGAACTATGAATCCTTCTATTCTTGATCTTTGTATAGGAACCCACAATCTCTATCTGAGGAGACGGCAGCCAGATACTCTCGAGGTTTACACGTCTGCGATTTTGTTTTATAGCTGTGAAATTATCTAAAAACAACAATGATGTTGAAGGTACAACAAATGAAAGCGCTGGCAAAAGAAGATCGAGCTCGAAGACAAGTAAGGCTAACTTTTATTCTGTCTTGGCTTTCTTCGCACCCTTTTTGTGAATCTTGATTCAAGCAAGAAGCAGCGCAGTTATCCAGAGAGCGTGAAGAACGATTGCAAGCTGAAAGCGAACGTAATCAGCTTAAAGCAGAGATCGAAAAAATTGCGGAGCAGCTAGAACAAGCCAAGGTAAAAACTACCCTTGATTGTGGTGAGCAATATGGAGAGGTGATTGTTTAGGAAGCGGCAAGAAAGACAGAAGAGACTGCTGAATTGTTGGCTGAAAAAGCTCGGGCCAGTGAACAAGAAACGCTGATGTTGACTAAAAGAGTCAGTGAAGCAGAGGCGGAATGCCATAGACTGCAGATGAATCACGTGAAGGTGAGCTTCTGATGAGCCGCTCACTTGAACCCTTATATTCGCGATAAGTTTAGTCGGAAGAAGCTTTGATGAGAATGGAAAGGAAGGCAAGGGAAGCTGAACTCTACGCACAACGAATATCTATGTCTTTAGCCGACGTGAATACCAAGCCTCATTACGCTAGTCACGCGCTTATCACAGAGTCGACGGTGAAGATGCACCAGCCTCGTAATATTTGTCATCTCATCTTTTTGCAGCTTTGGCCTCTTTCAAACTTAGCCCTGCAAGGAACACTTTCTCATCATCAACTCATGATCTCTGGTGGATCTCAAGAAGGAGATCGGTCCACTCTAACTGAAAGATCACAACTACACCAACATCACCAAGGTGTGCCACAATCTGCTGCGCCAATCTACAGAGCAGTTCCTCCTAACATGGCACAGGTAATACTTTTCTTTTCATGAAATGCTTCCAGAGGCGCTTGGCTTCCAGATGCATACATAACTTGCCTGGCTGAATTTTCTTTGTAGTTTGACCAGGTATTGTTCAAATCCTACATCCTGTGTACTTCCAGATGATGCATGCCCCACCGCCCCCAGATCCATCTGTAAATCAACGACTAGAGTTCCACAATCTGCGAAGCGAACTGGAAAAATCGAGGTATAAGTTGTATCTACAGCCTGTATTCTAGTGTTCTTCCCATAGATAACACCTCTATGCATGCTTCTCGCGCCTTTGAGCTATCTTTGCGTCGTCCTTTTAAAGCATTCTGTAAATCTCGGTGCCTCTGGTTAACGCGTCAACGCTGCAAATAGGCTGCGCCTTGCGGTCGTGCCTATGGGAAGATCTCGGTACCAGATCACTCACGTTTTTGAACTAGGTTGGCACCGTAGTATGATCCATTTTCTGGCTAGAGCCATGAGCAACCTTTGCATGTGTTTGATTAAACAGCTCAGGAATCTTTTGACGCGTTTTGGTGAGACTGTGAGGAAAGCATGAAAGAACTTCATATTTGCGTTGAGTAACGAACTCCAAATGTTTATTCACGAATTCCCGAACGAAATTCCCAAAACGCGTCAAAACGCACCCATAAACTTTTAGACCAAGTATACATAAAGTATGCTCGTGTCTTTTGTCCAGAAAATGAATGATGCATGAGTGACATGATCATATGACACTCATGATCACGTTTGAAGGTTTGGAATAACCTGAAAATTTCGAAGAAAGTGTAGATGTACTCATATATCTCTCATTAACATCAAGAATAGATTCAACAGTCGCCATAATTATCAACGAATCTTAAGGTTAAATATACTCTGAGAGAACCCGTATGAATCAAATCTCAAGGTATGTTCCACTCTGAGCCATTAACCCGTATTCACGAACATACAGTTTGCCCCAGTTCCAATAGGCCAAATTTGGTATGAGAGCGGTTTTGCGCACTCCTACGACTTGCTTGTCTGCTCCCTCTTCAATCTCTTCGTTCGCTCTAACAGCGCGCATATGCAGCGCAAACCTCTAACGCTGCGAGCACGCAAACTTGAACCAACGGTTTGGCTTGATCGCGAGTGGGACAGACTGTAGTAAGGTTTACCTCGAGGTGATGCAAATGCAAATGCACTGACTCAAGTAACAATCCAAGGCGTAGTTCATCCGTCTGGTCACACCGCCAGTTGAAACCCTGAATGGGGTAGGTTGACTATATGTCGCCGATAGGCTCCACCCCGCGCGGACAGCTGGAACAGATCTGTAATGCCTGCAGTGCGCATGGCTGCGTAGTCTGTCGCGGATGACCACGTGGGACCACCCCCTTCGGGCAACGTATAGTCCTCCACCTCCTCAGATAATCGCCGGGGGCAAGCGGGCACCGGAATATTAGTTCGCTGATTTCTTGCGGATTTCATGCGCTTGCAGATATCTGGAAGAATTTTGGAAGAGTTTTGGACGATTGCTCGGAGAACAATTGCAGCTTTCATAGATTAATTGCGGCGCAGTGGCCGCATTCTCGCGGATACTCCGCGAGAATATGCAAAATTATTGATGGACGCACGGTCCTTTGTGAAGGACCGCACAGTCCGTAAGTACCGCTGGAAGAAAATACCCCCAAACTCGGGTAATTGAACCATTGATGACACCTGCAAAGACCCACCAAAAGCGCCGTGGCCTTATCGCCTCACTGCCGCTTCCCGCTGAGAACCGTGTTGGAATTGACAGCGGGCATGCTGCTATAACTGCCGCTTTCGCTTCGTGCTGAAGACATTCTCAGCGGGAAGCGCCAGTGAGGCGATAAGGCCACGGCGCTTTTGGTGGGACTTGGTGGTGACTTTGTGGCTTCCCGCTGAAAGCCTTTGATTGTCTGAGGTGTTACCTTTGCTCGGCGTACTCTCGAAACTGCGTCAAAAGAGTCAGAGCGCTTGCTGAAAGTTTGGCCCGCGCTCGCTGAAAGAAATTATTTGCCGAGCGCTTGCAAAAAATGCTGTATTACTGCCCGCTGGCAGAATGTGCGACCGTAAAGGAAGTGCCGCCCGCTGAAGGTTTGGCCACGCTCCAAAATTCTGCTGGCCGCCTGCAGAAAAGCGCGAGCCCCCATAAAAATTACGGTTAGGGTAGGAGCCAATCGCTGACCCATAGCCAATCCTCGGATTCGAGCGAAATATCTTCCTGACCATCTGAATATATTGCACTCCAGACACGCTTTTAACAGGGCCATTATCTACGCGATAGATAGTCCGAAAAGTCTTATGGCTTGTTCATGTTTTATTAGATTTTCACGAACGGCTTGCAATGTAGAGTCATTGGATACATTCGTGTACAACGCGCTAACTCGAACGACTCCATGGCATGATTAGCAGAAACATGTGTCTTACGCAGACGGTCTAGAAACATTTGCGTATTGCTTAGATGGGAAGGGATGAATTGGAGTAGCTGTACTAACAAGGGAAGGATACTAAATAAGATTTGCCTTTTGAGATGAGACACATATATTTGGAATGAGCTTGGAACGCTGATTCCAAATATGCTATTCCCAGCTGCTTAGCATTATTCTGAAGCGAGTTATGATCTCTTTTCAATGCAAAGTCTGCGTGCTCCTGTACCTACTGATGCTAGGTGTCGACGTCTAGGTGGTTTTGCATTGTATCATGCCCCCTTTTGATATCGAAAAAATTAATCCGATGCTCGTTCAATATCCTAGCACTTTTTTGAGCAGGTTCTTGTCTACACGCCGTCTTACGACATTCAGAAGTTTGTTATTTGCCCACAACAGCAAGCCATAACTCGCTTCGGATTAACGCTAAGCAGCTACGAACAGCATATTTGGAATCAACGTTCAAACCTGATTCCAAATTTATATGTCCCATCTCAAAAGACTAATCTAAGTTAGTATCCCTCCCTTGTAAGATTTTACTAAGATACCATCCTATCCTATCTGTGGGTCCACCCACGCAACCAATTATAGGTCTGACCTTGAAAGTTGCGGGATCATCAGGTGCGAAATCGCGTTCGGATTGGATTTTATGCGTCTTGATGAGAAGGTAAAATACGGGACAGATTGTCTGATCATTTCTAAGGCGGATGACGATTTTAGGCGCTAGGTTTGCTGCCTTCGCTGTCTTTGTCCATTCTCTGTTTGACTTGCGATATTGCTTCTGATAGTCCTATTTTGTAGACAGTTTGTATAAAGTGGCATCTTGAAGATGTCTCTCTGTTAATTGCGATATCTAGATGATGATGGCTCACTACAAAATCGCCGCCTTTATTAGTTGTTGACAAGCGTATCTCAGCAGCCTCTATCATTCTCTGAATCTGTTTCATGACCTCTTTCTGCGCTCTACTAATGTTTGAGTGCATCTTACTTCTACGAAACCTTGCTAGAGTTCTAAAATCGTCGGCAAAAAGACGAAAGTAAGCATTGCTAGTGGGACCCAGAAAACGAAGTGGTTTCGAAAACCCAGAAACAAGAACATCCTTGACCTCCGCTCAGCACATCCTTTACTTACTAAAAAAGCTGTGGTCAGAAACATGTTTCGCACAGCTGCGAAGGTTTGTGGTCGAGAGGAAAAGACGGAGGCACTAGCCTTGGCGCGTAGTATAGCTTCATTGAACGGTTATGAAAACAGCATGACGCGGTGTAGGAGCCAACAGGGGAGCTTTATAGATAGAGCAAGAGCGTCCACAGCAGAAAAGATACCCTTCTGCATGCCCTTCATCTCCGATAAAGTGAGCACCGCTATTCGACGGTGTCTGAGGAGAGCAGGACTAGACAATTCCGTTTCGGTAGTAGATATACCTCCGAACAATTTGAAACGTATCCTTGTTCGGAATCGCATGTACGATCGCGGTTGCCCTACGCCGAACTGTCCGATATACCCAACAGCAAGGGATGGAGACTGCATGAGTACGGGTATTGTATATCTTACATCTAACAAGGATTGCGGCAACGAATACATCGGAGAAAGCACGCCCTCTGAGCATACGTATTAAGGAACATCTCAAAGGTAAAGAGAGATCACGCACATCCACTCCATTGGCGCCCACAGAGTGCACGATCATCAAGGAGTTGATTTTGAAGTAAAAATAGAGATTCTAGCGCGCGAAGCTCAGACATACACTCGCAAAACTTTAGAAGCCTTTTGGATTCATTTCAGAAACTCTAAAATGAATCGCAAGGAGGAGTTCTCTCTATCACATGAGAACTCGCACCGTATCTTAATCAGATCTTTTGACCATGTGAAGACATGTTTAATTCCTTACTCAAGCGGTCAGTAAGCACTGGCTCGTACTATACCAAGACTTTACCGGCGAACGAAAGGTGAGTACTGCGTGTGGCAGCCTGCTCGTGATCGAAAGATAGCTCAGATTTTGCCTGTAGGGTTGAGGAGATGTTTGATCGGGTAGTCTGTAAATTGTTTTCGCCCATTTCAGGCTCTGAAGAAGGCGATTTATTGCCGAAACGTTAGCCTAAATTGAAACTTACCAATCTCAGTCGTGGCTAAACAATCGAATAAACACAATTGAAATGTACGCATGGAAGTCAAAATTGTCAGTATAGTTAACACCCAAATCTATCTCGAATTGAACGGGTACGATGTAGGATTGACTCATCAATCGTGAACTCGAATATAGGGTGGTTTCTGCCGAAAGTCATAACACAGATCTTCTCCTTGGAAATATTTAGCTGCCATGTTGACGACCATGCAGCAAGTGCATTTATGGCTTTTTGTAAGAGAGCGGCATCATCGGCGGCATCATCTATTGCGTAGATTTTGGAATCATCAGCGTAATTGGAGCAGAAAGTGCCCACTGGGAGAGCGCTAGGAAGGTCATTAAGTATATGAGAAACAGCAAGGGGCCAAGGACCGACCCTTGAAGTACACCGCTCCTGGTATTGTACGCACACATGAGCGTGAACACGTGAACTAACGGTGTTGATGGTAATTGATTGTTGTCTACCATTGAGAAAGGAATTCAAAAATTTCAGCAATGAGCCTTGGATGCCACGGAGCTTTACAAGGAGCAGCGGTATAGAAATGGAGTCAAAGGCTTTACTGCAGTCTACAAAACATACAGAGTCATATCGGCCTCAATCCATTTCTCTATGCCAAAGCGGGACCGAAGACATGAGAGCAGCACAGATCTCTTGCTTAGAAACCATTTTGTGC